AAAAAACAAGCTTGGCTAACTGCATGAAAGAAGCACAAATGAAAAACGCCTTCGTGGTGTTGTAAGAGACACCTGGGGGCAAGTGGTAGCAGGAGGGTAAAGGAGAGACTTAATTGGAGCTGGGGAGAGGCAGTTGAAACTTTGGAATGCGAGGTGTTTAATAGACAATTGAAGACATCGGATCTATATTTGGAGAAAAGGACTGAGGATTCAAGGGTGAGACTTGTTAACATTCAGGCGGTAATGCAAACCATGAAAATGGAAGAGGATACTAGAGAGAGAACTAAACAGAGAAAGATTAAATCTTAAAGGGAGGAAAGCTTTGGCTTGGTGTGGTGGCTACCACCTGTAATCCCAGCACTTTGGGAGGCCGAGGCGGGTGGATCACCTGAGGTCGGGAGTTTGAGACCAGCCTAACCAATATGGTGAAACCTCTTCTCTACTGAAAATACAAAATTAGCCAGGCATGGTGATGTATGCCTGTAATCCCAGCTCCTTGGGAGGCTCAGGCAGAAGAATAGCTTGAACCTGGGATATGGAGGCTGCAGAGAGGTCAGATCATGCCATTGCACCCTAGCCTGGGCAACGAGAGCAAAACTCCATCTCAAAAAAAGGAGGAAAGCCTTGAATCATTTCGCCCAACATCGTGGTTTGGAGACTGAGCACCAGATTTAGAGGGAAACAAAAGCCCCTGACTTAGGCGATAAGGAGGTTTAGTTCCCAACACCCGGCTTCTGGAATAGTCTGGGGAGTCCTCGAAAGGTCTGCATTCTGTGGGATAGAAAGGCAGGAACCTGCTTGTCAAGATTATCTGCGTTTATAAGACACGAAAACTGAGTGATCTCACTCTCTCTGATCTCTGCTGGAGGCTGTCAAAAGACCACAGCCAAGCGTGCATTATTTCTGAAACTGAGTTTGGCTTTGATATTTGCGCTTTTCTCCTTAGGTATGAAGAAATTGATTTGGAAACTGGAATTCTGGAGTCTAGGAGGGACCCGGTGCCTTTGGAGGACGTCTACCCGATTCATATGATCTTAGAGAATAAGGATGGCATCCAAGGCTCCTGCCGCTACTTTAAGGAGAGGAAAAACATTACCAATGACATCAGAACCAAGTCTCTGCAGCCTCGATGTACGATGGTAGAAGCCTTTGACAGGTAACTATTTTGCATCATCGGAAATTCCTGGGAATCTGAGCCAGGCACGGTGGCTCACACCTGTAATCCCAGCACTTTAGGAGGCCGAGGCAGGTGAATCACTTGAGATCAGGAGTTCAAGACCAGCCTGGCCAATATGGCAAAACGCTGTTTCTACTAAAAATACAGAAATTAGCCAGGTATGGTAGTGCATGCCTGTAATCCCAGCTACTGTAGTGGCTGAGGCAGGAGAATCACTAGAGGCGGAGGCAGGCTGCAGTGAGCTGAGATCATGCCACTGTACTTCAGCCTAGGCACAGAGTGAAACCCTGTCTTCCAAAAATAAAAAAAAAAAAAGGAAAAAAAGAAATTCCTGGGAATCTGAGTGCTTTGAATGTGTAGTCAGAGCCCTTGGATCTGGCCTACAACCTTGGAGTCTGTCAGAGTCCACTAGCCCTGTGCTAAGCCAGTTCTTGACCTTTACTTACCTCTTCCACTGGGATCAGGGGTCCTTCCCTTCTCTCTCCTTTGTGTCCACAATCCTTGAACCATTGAACGTGGCAGTCTTCAAACACTTGAATGGTGCCCTTTCTCTCTTCCTAGCTGGGCCCTGTGCTGCCCGGCCGTTCTCTTATGAATCCCATCAGTATTCCAATTTCCCAGAGTGTGTAATCCAAATTTTCATTTTTTTTAAGCACCTAACCCCATTCCTGCCTTCCTACTATACAGGGCAGTGGGAACTCTGCTAACTTCCACCTTCTTCCTTGACTTGCAGACATTTCCACATTTCTTTCCTGTCTGCTGTCATCTTGGAGGAGGTGAGAAATAGTGGCCCCATCTAAGGCTGTAATCTGGATGCTTCCCTTCCTTCTCCCCTCCCCCAGACCATCTCCCTCTACCCCTGAGCTTTCGTACTTCTCAGTTAGCTAATTTTTCTTGATTTATTTTCTTTCTTTCTTTTCTTTTCTCTTTTCTTTTCTTTCTTTCTTTTCTTTCTTTCTTTCTTTCTTTCTTTCTTTCTTTCTTTCCTTCCTTCCTTCCTTTCTTTCTTTCTTTCTTTCTTTTCTTTCTTTCTTTTCTTTTCTTTTCTTTCTTTCTTCCTTCCTTTCTTTCTTTCTTTCTTCCTTTCTTCCTTTCTTCCTTTCTTTCTTTTCTTTCTTTTCTTTCTTTTCTTTCTTTTTCTTTCTTCTTCATACAGAGTCTCACTCTATTTCCCAGGCTGGAGTGCAGTGGTGTAATCCCAGCTCATTGCAGCCTTGACCTCCTGGGCTCAGGTGATTCTGCCACTTCCCACCTGTGTAGCTGGGACCACAGGCACATACCGCCACACCCAGCTAAGTTATATTTTTTGTAGAGATGGGGTCTTGCCATGTTGCTCAGGCTGGTCTCAAACTTCTGGGCTCAAGCAATCCTCCCACCTCACCCTCCCAAATTGCTGGGATTACAGGTGTGAGCCACTGGCCCTGTCTGTCCTTGATTTCTACTGAAGCTTTCCCTTCAGCACATGAGCACCGTTCACCCATCTCACAGCAGAACCTTCTCTTGACTTCAGATCCCTTGTAACTGGCCACATGTTTGACTCTGCAGCCATGCTTCTTCGAAGAACGAGCCCCACTCACTGTTTCTACCTCTTCACCTCCCCTTCACTCCTTTGCCCACTGCGGTCCTGATTCCTGACTTTATCACTTCACAGTTTTTATCCTCTAAGCCATGAATACCTTTAGGCCCCTAATCTCCTTGACCCTGCTATGCTAATAAGGACTCAAAGCTTTTGTGCCTGTGGCTTCCTGCCTTATTTTGTTTTTCTGTTCTCCAGGCCGTTCCTCACCAGCTTCTTTGTGGATTCCCCTACTTCCACCACTTTAATGTTAGCTGGTAGGCCAAGCAGGCACAGTGGCCCACACCTGTAATCCAAGCACTTTGGGAGGCCAAGGCAGGAGGATCGCTTGAGGCCAGGAGTTCAAGACAAGCCTGGACAATATAGCAAGACCCCATCTCTACAAAAAAATTAAAAAATAAAAAACAAGCTGGGCATTGTGGCACACTCTGTAGTACTAGCTACTTGGGAGACCGAGATGGGGGGATTGCTTGAGCCTAGGAGTTTGAGGCTTTAGTGAGTTATGATTGTACCACCACACTCCAGCCTGGACAACAAGTGTGACTCTATCTTTTTTTTTTTTTTTTTTGAGACAAAGACTTGCTGTGTTGCCTAGGTTGGAGTGCAATGGCGTGATTTTGACTCACTGCAACTTCCACCTCCCAGGGTCAAGCGATTCTCCTGCCACAGCCTCCTGAGTAGCTGGGATTATTGGTGCATGCCACCGCACCTGGCTAATTTTTGTATTTTTAGTAGAGAAAGGGTTTCACCATGTTGGCCAAGATTGTCTCGAACTCGTGACCTCAGGTGATCTGCCCACCTTGGCCTCCCAAAGTGCTGAGATTACAGGTGTGAGCCACTGTGGCCGGCCTACTGGTGGTTAAACTTCAGCATGAGTTTTGGTGTGAACAGGCCTCATCCAAACCATAGTACTGCCTTTTCTCATTCTTTATTCTGGTCAGACATACTCCCATGCACATGGCTGTACAAGCCATAAACGTGGGACGCTCCTAGGCCCTAGTGTGATGTGATGTGGCCTGACCACATTAGGCAGAGATTTCAAACTGACAAAATCTGCCCACAGATGAGCTCTGTGTGCCCAGCATGGTATTCTGTTTGTTTTTTGATTTTATTTCATTGCTCATATTTAAAAAACTGGATTTCTAGCTTTTCTTGAAAAATCACAAGATCTAGTTGCACAAGAGACCGATTTTATACAGGGTGATATAGGATGGGCCAGAGTTCCCCTCAGCTGGCCATGTACTGCCTGCTTCTGCACACCCTGAGGCTATGTTTGTGTGTGCTCCCTGCCCTCCTGATTGCGGCCTGGCAGGCCCTGTGTGATTGTGCCTCTGCCCACCCAGTGCTCCGACCTCAGCCCCCTCAGTTTCTTTACTCTGCTGTGCTTCAGCCTCAACACCCTGGGTTCCTTTCTGTCTCAGGCAATCCTTGTGCTGTTCCTCTGCCAAGAATATTCTGCCCTCAAGTCTTAGCATCGCCACATCATTAAGGCTTCAACCTGACTCCTCTGGAAGTGCCCCCCATTGCCCAGACACCATCATAGTACTCTTTATGGCACCAAAAATGGTTTTAAGTGTGTGTTTATGTAACTGTTTCCTCACTAGATTATACATTGCTCGAAGTCAGGGACTCCACCCTTCTTGTTCACAGCTGTGTCTCTCAGTTCGATAATATGCCAGGCACAAAGCTGCCCTTGTAGCAATACATGTTTGAAGTTGTAACCCCTTACCCATGTATGGAATCTGAACTCCCCAGCGCGGCATCAGAGGGCCATTGGGGATGTAGATGCCGGCCTTTCGAGCTTTCTTTCTGCTTTCTAGCTGGCTACCGCGCTCCAGACTTGGTAGCCGTACTGCACCACTTGCCTCTGGGAGCAGACATGCTTCTTCGCACCTCTGTAACTGCAGCTTCTGTGTCCTTCCCCTTCTCCCTCTCATCCGCCCAGCTCACTGCTAATGCAAGAGTCACCTTCTTGCCAGGCGTACTGGTTCACACCTGTAATCCCAGCACTTTGTGAGGCTGAGGTGGATGGATCACTTGAGGTCAAGAGTTCAAGACCAGCCTGGCCAACCTGGTAAAACCCTATCTACTAAAAATACAAAAATTAACCTGACGCAGTGGTGAGTGCCTGTAATCCCAGCTACTTGGGAGGCTGAGGCAGGAGAATCACTTGAGCTCTGGAGGCAGAGGTTGCAAGATCGTGCCACTGCACTCCACCCTGGCAGGAACCTGTCTCAAAAAAAAAAAAAAAAAAGTTACCTCTTTGAGAGTTTTTCCTTAATCCCTGTGCACATACTCTGTTTATACACGCATGTTTGAATTAGGGCTCCTCATCTATGCCATTTTCTAGCCTCAACAACTAGAGCTTCTGAGAAGTTGTGACCTCATACTAGAATTGTTCATTTGTTGATTTTAAATTTTTTCTCTTTGAGTAGCCTGTAAGCTTTGGTGTCCTGGTGTACTTTAAATGGTACCTAATTGGCATTTGATAACGTGTAAGATGACCATAGTCAGCAAATTAAAACTAGCAGTAGTCATCGAATAAGTTAATTGGCAATAATTAGCAGTAACACTGGGATCATGACAGTGAAGGACAGTAAACTAGTAAGAGTAATGACATTTTAAAAGCAGCAAAGCAGTGCCTGTTTTCAAACCTTTTTCTCCCAACTGACTCTTACAATTTAACTTAATAGCCTATTTTGAGAAAAAAAAAAGCATAGGTCCCAAGTTTGTGAAATTCAGATACATAAAGTGGACTCTGTCATGTATATTCACAACCTAACATTCTTTTTAAAGACAGACTATATAGGCTTCTGTGACTTAGGCAAAAGACTAATTACAGGCCTTAAACACTATGAAGAAAGATGCAGTAAAGTTAAAACAAAGACAGCCCCTTTTTGTGTGTGTGCCTCCTTGGTGGTAGAAGTCAAGTCATCTGGTGTGGGGAAGAAGAAAGGAAAAGTGTCAGACTGAGTTGAATGGTGTGGTTGCTGAAGGACCTCGTGACCAGGCATCTGTAAATAATAGGGCTGAGAAGGGTGGTTATTGGCTCCCAATAAATGGAATTGGTAGCCTGTCAGTTTTTATATGTGGACCCTTGGTGACTCCTTCATCTGGGAAAGGGGGGTCCTCTACCTTAGGCCATTTCCTGCTGCTATAACAGAATACCACAAACTGGGTAATTTATAAAGAACAGAAATTTATTTGGTTCATGGTTCGAGGGGCTAGGAAGTTCAAGAGCATGGCATCAGCATCTGGCAAGGACATCCCACTCCTGAGATAACTAACCCATTCCCACGATAAGAGCGTTAATGCATTCATGAGGGCAGAGCAGAGCTCTCCTGGCCTAATCACCTCTTAAACGTTCTTCCCCTTCATACTGTTACAATGGAAATCAAGTTTCTAACACATGAACTTTCGGGGGACACATTCCAACTTTAGTCTTCTCCAGTTAAGTAACTTGATGCCAAGGAGCGAGGGAGGGATGGGTGGGATCTCCCAGCTGCAGGGCCAGGGCTTGGACTCTGAGAGTTGGTAAATGGAGCAGGTCAGTTTGCTCAAGATGTCGGTACAATTGAGCAGGCCAGGCACTGTGGCAGAGCCTCCAACAGGGGTGGGGAATGCACAGTCAGGACTGTTTGGCGTCAGCACAGAAGTGCGTCTTCTCTCTTGGGCTGTCCTCACATGCCTTGCTAGGAAGTGGTTTTGTCCTCTTTCCATGCATTCTTTCTCACACATCAATTTAGTAGAAGGAACTGATGATTTGTGCAAGGTCTGGCCTTCCATGGTAAAGTCAAAATTAGACTGCAGGTCCACTGATTGCACAGTTCATGTTTTTGTCTCTGAAGATTGTTTTAGCAGTTCAGCTCAGTAGGCTAGTTCATTTACTCAACCAATGTACACAGAGCCCCTGTTATCACTCAAATTAATTATTCTAGGCACTAAGGATGTCCTGGTGAACAGGTTGACAATATACCTGCACTGATGGCACTTATATTTGAATGAGGGAAACTGACAAGAAAGTTGGCAAAAAGAAATATATATATATGTAGTCATTTCTGAGAGTGCTAAGCGCTATGAAGAATATAGAAATCGTGGGGGTGAGGCTGGAACTCCAGTTGGCGTTTTATGAAACGCCTGAGAAGTTGACAGCTGGGCTGTGACCTGAATGATGAGAAGAAATCAGTCACCTAAAGATCTGGAGGAAGAGCAGCCAGGCCGAGGAAACAGCAAGGGCAGCACCCCTGAGGCTTGTCTTAGGAATAAGAAGGCTCCTGTGGGTGAGGGGCAGCCCGGGGAGGATGAGCAAGGCAGGGAGGACTGGGCCATGGAGAGCCTTCCAGGAGGAATGGGATGAGGAGTTGGATTTGGTTTGAGCACCTTGGCGAGCCCTGTAGGGCTTTCAGCAAAGAAAAAAGCCTTGTTCCTTCAGCATGCTGTGCTTCTAAGACTGAAAACTTGCTTAGCTTAATTTTGGGGTCTTGTGAACTCTGGGAAGAAGCAGAAAATGAGATTCTGCTCATGTCTTTTCATATCTCGGTTTTCCTGAAATCAGTTAAACTTACTTCTTCATGCAGTTGTTTCTGATTTGCAGGTGGGGGAAGAAACTGATCATCGTTGCCTCCCAGGCCATGCGGTACAGGGCCTTGATAGGCCAGGAGGGGGATCCGGACCTGAAGCTGCCCGACTTCTCCTATTGCATCCTGGAGCGGTTAGGCCGGTCCAGGTGGCAAGGGGAGCTCCAGCGAGACCTGCACACCACTGCTTTCAAGTAAGTAGGAGGATTTGCTTCTCTGCTTTAAATTGCATGTCATTGCACTCTGAACCCCAAACACACAGGCCTACTGCGGTATCTTCCCCAAGGCATGGCTTTTTGTTTCAAGGCCATTGTCTCAGTGACTGTTAGGTTGGCTAGACAGGAGGTGTGTGTCTCTTGTGTTCATGTACACATGGGAGACTCTGTACTTTGATAAAGCTACCAGCAAAGCAAATGACACGGCTCTTCGTCTCCTCCAGGGTTGATGCTGGGAAGTTGCACTACCACAGAAAAATTTTGAACAAAAATGGGCTGATTACGATGCAGTCTCATGTGATCCGATTACCCACTGGAGCCCAGCAACACTCAATCCTCCTCCTACTGAACCGGTTTCATGTGGACAGGTATGGTTTGTAGTGATCACAACCTTAGATTTTTTAGTTTCAGCCATGTATAGTAAAACTCGTAGGGGCAGCTGGGTACGGTGGCTCATGCCTGTAATTGTAGCACTTTGGGAGGCTGAGATGGGAGACTTGCTTGAGGCCAAGAGTTCCAGACCAACCTGGGCAACTTGACAAGATCGCGTCTTTATAAAAAAAAAAAAAAATTAGCTGGGGGTGGTGGCGCACACCTGTAGTCCCAGCTACCCAGAAGGGTGGGGTGGGAGGATCGCTTGGGCCCAGGAATTTGAGGCTCCAGTGAGCCATGATTGCACTGCTCTACTCCAGCCTGGGTGACAGAGTGAGACCCTGTCTCTAAAGAAAAATAATAATAATAGAAGCCAAATCAGAATATGGCCATAGCTTTTTTAAAAAAGATATTTGTTATCTGTTTCTTGTGAAAATAAGTCCTGCTTGTTTAGAAAACCTGGAAACTATATATAAAAGAGGGAAAAATAAATCTGTAACTTCACAGCCGACAATAGGAACCATTAACATTTTGGTGACATTTTGGGAAGATGTAAAAATAAAAGTAAGTCAGATTTGATTTGTTGTGGTGGCAGAATTGTAGTTGAGTTATGTCAGTTTCAAACTGGATGTTTTGCAGCACTCAACCATAATAACCTATATGGATGAGATGGCAAAGTTCTGCTAAATGATAACAATGTGTGATGTTCCCATTTTAATGGGATACTATTGTCCAGATGACACAGCAAACTGGTAAAATGTGCACATTCCCTTCTGAGGACCAGGGAGGCTCTGGGAGTGAGTAGGTTATCTCTGACTCCTTCATCCTTGGTGTTGGGGTGGCTAATTACTTGGCACAGGAATGAGGGACAGAAGAGTTTCATCACTCTGCAGAGGTCCCAGACACACTGCCCAACCTCATGCCGTTTTTTGTGGGAGGGGCAGAAGCCAGGATGAGAAAAGGTCAAGCTGGTGCAGGGCCTGGGAAGAGCAGCCCTTGGCTGAGGAAGCTCTGAGCCCCTCAGTACCTGGCCATCAGGTCTCTGGAGTGGAGGTAGGCAGCTCTGAGGGATAGTCAGGAGGGGGGGATGCATTCTCCAAAAAGGAGGGGAATGATTCCATGTAAATGTTAAAGTTTACAGTGCACATGGGTCAGCCCAAAGAAAGTGCTCGACACATGTGTGTAGAATATTGACTGTGGCTCTCCAGGGTTGAAAATCATCATTGCTGCACCTCTGTTAAATGTCTGCCTCCCATATGCAAGTGATTCTTCTGCCTTAGCCTCCCTAGTAGCTGGGACTATAGGCACCTTCCACCATACCCGGCTAATTTTCATATTTTTAGTAGAGACAGCGTTTTGCCATGTTGGCCAGACTGATCTTGAACTCCCGACCTCAAGTGATCCACCCACCTTGGCCTCCCAAAGTGCTGGGATTATAGGTGTGAGCCATTGCACCCGGCTACACAAAACTTTTGACTGCTTGAAAACTTAACTAGCAATAGCCTATTGACCAGAAGCCTTACAAATAATACTAAGTTAGTTAACACACATTTTGTTCCATGTGTTGTAGCCTGTTCTTGTATTATTACAATAAAGTAGACTAGAGAAAAGAAAATGTAATTAAGAAAACACATTTACGGCCGGGCACGGTGGCTCATGCCTGTAATCCCAGCACTTTGGGAGGCCGAGACGGGCGGTTCACAAGGTCAGGAGCTCGAGACCAGCCCAGTCAAGATGATGAAACCCCGTCTCTATTAAAAAAAAAATACAAAAATTAGCCGGGCATAGTGGCGTGTGCCTGTAATCCCAGCTACTCTGGAGGCTGAGGCAGGAGAATTTCTTGAACTGGGAGGCGGAGGTTGCAGTGAGCCGAGATCACACCATTGCACCCAAGCCTGGGCGACAGAGGGAGACTGTCTGAAAAAAAAAAGAAAACACATTTACAATACTGTACTGTGTTTACTGATACCATAGTTTACATTGTCTGTTAACAAGATAAATTGTCTGAAATGGCAGGCAGCGGCAGCTGCAGACCTCACTGTACAGTTCACGTCAAGCAATTTAACTTTTTCTTGAACTGTCATGACTTTTCTCTGCTTCTTGGGAGCATTTCCAGCATCACTAGTGGCACTTTGTATGGGTCCCATGGTATTAGTCAAGGTTTATGGTATTGCACTAAACACGAGTCAAAATACGTGAGAACTGCAAGAGATCACTTTTTACCGCAATAACCAGTTTACTAGAGAGGAACTGCTCACACAGAGATGATGAGTGTCACACGGGATCTTTTTTTAGACAGTCTCGCTCTGTTGCTGAGGCTGGAGTGCAGTGGCAGAATCTCGGCTCACTGCAACTTCCACCCCCTGGGCTGAAGTGATTCTCCTGCCTCAGCCTCTCAAGTAGCAGGTATTACAAGCATGTGCTACCACACCCAGCTAATTTTTTTGTATTTTTAGTAGAGACGGGGTTTCATCCTGTTGTTCAGAGTCCGAGTGGCGTGCAGTGACCTCAGGTGATCTGCCCACCTTGGCCTCCCATAGTGCTGGGATTACAGGCGTGAGCTGCCATGCCCTGCCCACCACATGGCATTTTTAAGCCGCTACTCACAACACTTAAGCTTACCACAATAGCAACAGGAGGTTGCTACGAAGTTACTAACAGTAGTACACGGTGTATTACGGTTATTCTATGCAGATATTATTTCATCCTGCATCTGCATGTTTGTTTACATTTCCTCCTCCGCACATGGCACCATGTATGCTCTGTAAATGCTTGCATAACTTTTGATTAACTTTTTATAATACATTTGTGTATATTTTATGGTAATTTAATGATGAAACAGACTAGTATCCACATATTTTATGCATTAATGGCATACCTTTTTCTTAATTTTTTCAATATTCGTAAATCATACAGTTTGTCTATGAGTTTTCTCAAACTGTCACAAACTCCAAAAAGTTTTGAAATATTTTTTTACATATTTTCTAATATATTTTTTGAATAAATATGAAAAATGTGCATATAAGTGGATCCACCCAGTTCAAACCCATGTTGTCCAAGAGCCAACTGTACGGTATTGGGGAGAAGCGTCTTTTATGACTTCACATTTTAATTGGGCCATACTGTCCATTAGTTAAGTAGCTGTCTCACTAAACTCTTAACTTGTGTGTAGCCTGTGCTCTGCCAAGAACACAGGGTGGCAGCCGTAGGGTAGGAGAGAGAACACTGGATTCAGTCAAGATCTGTGTTTCCGTCTTTGCCCCTCACCTGGGCAAAGTAACTGACCTCTTTGAACCACTGTTGTCTCTCATGTTAAATGGCTGTGACACAGTGCATCCTATGCAGAGTGGCTCATATGCATGAACTGCCTGTCCCTCCATTTATTTCATTTACTGAGATGCAGTACAGATGGAGAAGTGGGTTCAGTCTCTGGCTCCCATACGTGTGCTCTCCCTCCCCATAGGACTGTTAAGTCAAGCCAAGCTGTGTTTGTCTAGCCAAACAGGCCACAAGACTCCTCCCTGCACCTTTCCTTAAGCTCCCTCTAGACGTACACAGTCAAGAGCCCTCAGTGTTTTTTAATAGCTTCCTTTGGTGGCCGTTAGCTTGGAAGCGTTGATCATGACATCCGCCTCAGGGTAGAAATGAGATGGAAGGTGGGCTCGGTCACACCAGTGTTGTCAGGAACAGAAACGTACACAGAGCCTCGGAATCAGAGTGGCTTGCAGCGTAGTAAGGAGAGGACTGGATTTAGAGGAAGAAGACCTATGTTTGTGTCTCCAGCCTGAACTTTGGTAAAGCCTGTTCACTTTGTGGAGTAACCCCCATCATTCCTCACCAAATGATTTGTTTGTTGTTGTTCTTTGAGACGGAGTCTCACTCTGTCATCTAGGCTGGAGTACAGTGGCATGATCTTATCTCACTGCAACCTCTGCCTTCCAGGTTCAAGCGATTCTCCCACCTCAGCTTCCCAAGTAGCTGGGATTACAGATGCGCCCACTATCACATCCAGCTAATTTTTATATTTTTAGTAGAGATGGGGTTTCACCACATTGGCCAGGCTGGTCTCAAACTCCTGACCTGAAGTGATCTGCTTGCCGTGGCCTCCCAAAGTGCTGGGATTACAGGCTCGAGCCACCACTCATGGACCCTTACCAAATGATTTGTAAGAAGATATATGTGATACGTCCTAAACTTCAAAGTATTGTAAAAATGAAAAGTGCTTTACAGAATCATGTCATGCAGGTTTTAGTCCTAGAGTCTAGTCTATACATTGCCTCTAGAAAGGTGACCGTAGATGTGATGAAACCACTCACAGCCAGTCTCTCCACCTGTAGAAGGTAGGAGTTGGGCTGGATGATCTTTGAAACGTAAAAGACTCTGTCATTTGTTGTCAGATAATTAAGTCAAGTCTTGCTTTGTCATGTTTAGAAAACAGCCTGTAAATATTGACTTCAGCAACAGGTTTAAAAAAATAAACTGCTCGGTGTTCTTGCAGGAGAAGCAAATATGACATCCTCATGGAGAAGCTTTCAGGCATGCTGAGCACGCGGACTAACCACATAGAGACGCTGGGAAAGCTGAGGGAAGAGCTGGTGAGCCTGGGGGTTCCCACGGGTGGGGCTGGGTGTGATCTGTACCACAGCCAGGAGGGCTTGTCAGGCTTAGATGAATGAATCGCAACCCAAAGCTCTATTCTGGACTTGTCGAAAATGGGATTTTCCTTTGTTTTTTGTGTCTTTCTTTTCTTTTCTTTTTTGAGATGGGGTCTCACTCTGTTGCCTTGGCTGGAGTGTGGTGGTGCAATCTTGGCTCACTGTGGCCTTCACCTCCCAGGTTCAAGCGATTCTCCTGCCTCAGCCTCTCGAGTACAGGCGCATACCACCACGCCCTGCTAATTTTCGTATTTTTTGTAGTGACGGGGTTTCACCATGTTGGCCAAGCTGGTCTCGAACTCCTGACTTCAAGTGATCCTTCCACCTCAGCCTCCCAAAGTGCTGGGATTACAGGTGTGAGCCACCTTGACCAGCCGTTTTTTAGAATGAGAGAGTGCTCTGTCCTTCATATAAATTCTTGCCTTTGCCTGGCTTCCATTTTTCCCCTGGAGTCTGTTCTAGGACTTATTATTAAAGTTCAGACGGAATAGGAAAACATGGCATTTAGGTTTACTTCTGTAATCAAGCTTGTGAACTTGTACCCAGTGGTTTTGTACTGAAATAGCAGAGTGGCTGTCCTGAGGGGGAGGGGTGAGGACGCAGTGAGGAAGGCAGCTGTTGACCTGCTTCATGTTTGGTCCCAGGAGCAGAGGCTGTGTTGAAGGGAGCGGGAGAGGAAGAAAGGTGGAGCGGCGCTGCGTCCAGTCTGATTGGAAGTTTTCAGTGCAAGTCAGGAAAGAGCCAGTGTTAGAGACGGGAAGGAAACAGGATTGCCCTGTGGGTGAAACCAGAACTTAAAACTGAACATTTGATGTCAAGCTCTTTGGTTACTAGTAATTAGTCCCCTAATGAGTGGTCTTCAGTCTGACTGTAGGCACCAGGGCAGTCCTTGTTCTGTCCCTGCGTTGCATCAGTGGAGCTCTAGTCTCTCATTTCGTTGTTCACAGCAGGAGGAGGTGTCTTCCGAATCGCTAGATTCACTGCCTGCCTGAGCCTCTTTAAAGCAGTGGCTACAGTCTGGAGGCTTGAGGGCCAGACTTGGTCTGTTAAAAATAAATTTGACCTAGCATTTTTTAAGAAATTGGGATTTTCCGTAAAAATCGAGGTTTCCAGTTTGTCTGGAGAAACGAGAAGCCTGGGCCTCCCATCTCTCCTGATAGCAGTTAGCTGGAACTAGTTGTGCACTGCTGCGTCCCCCACAGTCCGCCTGCTTCCTGTCACCTCTCAGACACAAGGCAGGGAGTCAGGGCCATTTGTCATTCCATGAGAACTGCTGTTTGTAGTAGGGGAGAAGGGTTTTGCTTCTCTGTGTCTGAGTTTATCAGAGCAGAAAATAAAAGGTAGATGGAGAAGGCCTCTATCAGGAAACCCTGGCAGAAATGAAGGAATTTCCTACCAGCTTAATAAACAAGTATCTGGCTACCATGTTAGTTGATGTTACTTGCCCAGCCCATGCAGTCCTTGGAGATTGAAACTTTCCCTCCTACCAAGTCACTCGGGGTCAGGGAAGCGGGGCTAGCCTGGTTTCAGGTCAGCCCTGTGGACTGTGTAAGCAGCAAGCCTTGACTGTTACTGGACAGCCTTTTACCTATTCATTCAACAAAATACTTCAGGGAGCGTGTTATGTTGAGTTAGAACTGTGTTCCATAAGATGGTGAAAGCTAGCCAGGGTGACAAGTGTCACACTGTCATGGAGCTGTCTAACCAGAAGGGCAGGTGTGTGAACACACACCTAGAAAGATGCAGCTGAGCCGGGAGAGGGAGAGGGGTGCTTTGTTTAGAGAACTAGGGAAAGCCTCAGAGCTGTGCCAAAAGCATAGTCGAGCTGGGCTTTTCCCCACAGAAGCAGAGGGGTAGTGGCATTTGAGAGAAAGAAGAAGAGCTGGTGCAAAGGCATGAGTTGTGGAAGGCCATTGGACATGCTTAGAAGTGGGCAGTAATCCACAGGGCAGCCGGTGCAGTGTGTGGCCGGACAGGAAGGTAGGGGCTGGATCAGAAAGGTCTGGCATGCTGGCTGAGGAGTAGGGACTTTTAGCCTTACACACTGCTGCTGGCCATGTAGAAATGAAGTTTTTAGCCAGGCACGGTGGTATGCACCTGTAGTCCCTGCTACTTGGGAGGCTGAGACAGGAGAATCGCTTGAGCCTGAGAGGTGGAGGTTGCAGTCTAGGCAGATGGGCTGGCGGAGGGAAGGGGAGGGGAAGCAGGTGACTAGATGGTGGCCATGAGGGCTGGAATTGTTTGAGAAACATTTTGGAGGTGAAACTAACAGGACGTGGTGAACACGTGCACCGGGATGTAGAGGTGACCGGAGAAGGAGGATCTCAGGGTGAAGCTGTTGTATTTGGCTGGAATGGCTTCTGCTCACTGAGGCAGCTCAAAGGCAGGCTGGTGAGGCAGGCATCGCGTCTACTTGCTCACTCTGAGCCCCCATGATGGAGATGGTGCCTGGCCCCCTGTAGATGCTCAGTAAATACTTGCCGAATGAGAGTTGAATAAATAGAGAGGACAGAAAGTGGAGCAGATGTGGGGGAGGAGGAGGCACAGGACAAATCTGAGTTTCAGACGTATTGGATATGAAGATCTTCCACAACAATCCCCCGGTGATGTCTAGTCGGCAGCTGGAAATTGGGGTCACAGAGAGCTGAGCAGGATCCCATGAATAATTAGCCTACAGATGAGGCTGAGGCCATGAATATGGATGCTGCCTTTTGGGGGGATTTGGTACGAAGACTCGCTGCCTTTCTCTTTTTGCTGGCCAGATTGTGTGAGTCATTGATGGCAGCCTCCCAGAAGGTAAGACTGCATCATCCTTCCCCTCTTAGGATGGTCCAGGGCTTAGAACCATATGTCGAGGGCTGGGATCTGATGGATGAGTTTCCACGGGGTCTTTTTATGACTTGGGGCACGGCTATATTAACATAGATGCCATTTAGAAGTCAGTGGCTTTGAATGAGCCATATGTGAGTCATCTGTATTGTTTTGATAGCCATATGTTCTGCCACCTGAGGGCTGGAGCTCTGCGTAGCTGGGAGGTAACCACACTTGTGGCAGCGGCAGCCCATGGACATTTGCTCTCTGTCTCTCCCCCAGAGCATAAGAGGAAACCTGTAACACTTAACGAACAGCTGTCAGTCATGAGTGCCTCTTGCTCTTCGTTCCTTTGCTGAGAGCCGTGGTAACCTGCCGTACTCTTCCAGGGGCTTCTAAATCAGTGCCCAGGAGGGTGATACCCATGAACAAAATGGGCCAAGTGTAAAAAAAATTTGATACAGTACAGGTTTAAGAAATTGACGTTCCTCTTAACTACCGTTAGAGAAAAACAGCACAAAAATGGTGATAAATGGCAGCTGACCTTCAGTTTCATTGTCGGAGAGTCTGATGGGGTGCAAAGGCTGTAGCCCCCTGGAGCTGGGCGGGCCCTGCTGAAGAGCAGCTGGTTGAGGCTCCTGATCACTGTTGCTGCAGCGAGCTGCAGTCCCAGCATTGGCTGCCAGATCTGAGCTTTTCAAGAGGAGCCGGAATCTGGGTCTTTTTTTTATGTGAAATCGCTCACTTTTCAATTTTGGCAAGTAAATTACTTTCTTTTATAAAACATTATGTCAATTTTAAAAAGCATGGCCTGCACTGGAGGTTGCTGTTGGTCACCTCTGCAGGGGAGCTGTTCCTAGAATCTTTTTTTTTTTTTTTTTTTGAGACACAGTCTCGCTCTGTTGCCAGGGGCCAGGCTGGAGTGCAGTGGCGCGATCTTGGCTCACTGCAACCTCCGCTTCCCAGGTTCTAGCAATTCTGCCTCAGCCTCCTGGGTAGCTGGGACTACAGGCGCATACCACCACACCCAGGTAATTTTTTGTGTGTTTTTAGTAGAGATGGGGTTTCACCATGTTGGCCAGGATGGTCTCGATCTCTTGATCCGCCCACCTCAGCCTCCCAAAGTACTGGGATTACAAGGCGTGAGCCACCGCGCCCGGCCCCTAGGATCATTTTGGTCTTTGGTCTTGCAAACGTAGGAGTGATGGGATGGAAATGCATACCTCTTATTCTGTTGTAACTTCATAGATTACATTTTTAAAATTTTTACAATTTTTTTTTTTTGTTTGAGACAGAGTCTCACTCTGTCACCCAGGCTGGAGTGCAGTGGCTTGATCTCGGCTCACTGCAACCTCTGCCTCCCAGGTTCAAGGAGTTCTCACCCTCAGCCCCCCGAGTAGCTGGGAGTATAGAAACATGCCACCGCACACAACTAATTTTTATGTTTTTGGTAGAGACGGGGTTTCACTGTGTTAGCCAGGCTGGCCGAACTCCTGGCCTTAAGTGTTCTGCCCGCCTCAGCCTCCCAAAGTGCTGGGATTAAAGGCGTCAGCCACTGCGTCTGGCCTATAAAATTTCTTAACCAATTTCTTTCCCTTTTTTCTCCACTGCTTGTGGGAGGCAGGGGTGTGTGTCTGTGTGTGTGTTTGTATTAATAATACGCTTACGTGGTTAAAAAAACAACATGAAAAGGTGTCAAATGAAGTCTCCAGTCTCCACTCCTGCCTGCATCATTCCTACCCCGTGCACCCTTCTGGGACCTGGCAAAATGAATCTCTTTCCCCCTCTCTAATCAAAAGGTAGAATCCTTTATATCCTGCTCCAGACCTTGTTTTCGTCCCTTGACAAGGTAGCTTGGCAGGCGTTCCTTGTTAGTACCTCAAGATAATCAATTAATTCAGGTCCTGAACTTGTGTTCATTTACATGACTTTCTAGTCATTTCAGACGTGTTGCCAAGTCTAACAGTAGCTTTTAAATTGTGTTTTGGCAGGGGCTGTGTGAAAGGACGTTTAAGCGTCTGTACCAGTATATGCTGAATGCCGGGCTAGCCAAGGTGGTGTCTCTTCGCTTGCAAGAGATCCACCCTGAATGTGGACCTTGTAAGACAAAGAAAGGTAACGCAGAGTCTCAGCTTCTGTTCGCTTGGCTGGCTGGCTCTCACTTCTCTCTTCTACGCTTCAGCCTCTCAGATCACGTTCTGCCTTGCGGCATCACGATTTCACATATTTATTCAACTCTACGCTTCAGTGCCTGGCTCAACACTGTCCATGTAAAAAGTGCCCAGAAAATATTTGCTGAACAAACTTCCAGCAGACATCTCTGTGGTGTCCTCCAAAATCATAGTTTTATGGTGCCCAAATAAACAAGTTCATCCTTTCTTCCTTATACTAAACCACTGTATTCTCCTCCTTTTTCTT